TTATATAAGGCGTTGGTGAATATGTTTGTGATGACTGATGGATGGCCATTCCCCATGGACGGTGAAGAAGCTTTCTTAAGTGGGTCCCTTTCATGGACCTGAGTATTTGACTCAAAATCAAAGTGATCCACGCGTGTAGATTTCAATTTCATAGAAATATTCTAAGATATTTATGTAAAAATTAGATAAATTAAAAAAAATAAGTATCTAAATAAACAAATAAATATTTTTCTATTTTTTAATAATTAAAAATAATTTATAATTAATATTATGTGTATATTAGTAAAAGTTTGTTGATATTTTTCATATTTTTTCGATTTTTTGTCTATAATGAAAATGTTGATTTTACTCCTCATGTTAATATCGAATTCATAGATACATAGACATGTCGATAGAAATGTGATATATTTATAGATATTTAATACCATGCCCAAAACTTACTTTTCCAAAATTTTATCTCTAGAAAATTTTAAAATTTCTTTTTTCACCATTAAATTTTTACTATTTGTTAAAGCTGTCAAATTATTATTGGTGTTCTAGAGATATAGATGCGATAAATATGTTAATCTTGATTTCATAATACAACTTTACACAATTGTGGATAAAAAATAAAAAAATAGAACCTCCAACTTGAAAAACATGACCCTATTTACTTCATTGAATTTTGCAAGAGTCTAGTTATATATATATTCTTTTTTATTTTTTAAATTTTTTTTATATTTGACACATTTAGATGAATTGTGTTACGTGGCATTATTTCAAAGTACACATGTTGAATCTAGTGTAAAAATCGAAAATAGGTGACCGAGATTTTTATTAAATAACATGAAATTTAAGGTACGAGAATGTATTTAAACGTTTGTTTTATTATTATTTTTTTCCATAAATTCTAAAGGTTTGTTTTGTTTACCAAAATTGAAGATTTCAAGGTAACCAAAGAGCCAAAACATGGACCTTGTGGTGCTTTGTTAAGTTTACACGTCCATATAGTAGTTGAAAGTTGGTTAAATTCCTACTGATTTTGTAGGGGTTGATGACATTTGAAATTCAAATATATATTATTTATCTTTATTAAAATTGAATTACTTAAAGTTCTTGTTGGAACTGTTTTATTTTATTTTGTTCTTTGTTCATTCAAAAAGATAAGTATTTTTAGTTATAGTGTCCTTCATTTTTTTTCTAATTAAAGTTAAAAAAAAACATAAATATACTTTTAAATAACTATTTTTTGAAATATTTTGAGCATGGCTTAGATTTTTAAAATATTGAAGAACTTAGTATTAGGCAAGTTTATACGTATATATATTTATATAAAAAAAATACTTGTTCAGTAAATTTAAGTATTCAATATTTCATTCTATTTAACAAAAAAATAAATGAAATATTCTCTCTCTATATATATATATTTGGTATTAGCTTCATATTTGAAAATCTCATTGTAAATTTGATTTTATCCAAACAAAGCAAAAATTTTGTGTCTATGCTTAATTGAGTGTTCATTTAAAATTTTGCAACTATATTAATATGTCGAATATTCCAATCTATATTATTGCAGCTTTCCGTATGGGAGTGAAAGCTTTGTTTCGTGCATTTTATCCCCAACGGTATTAAAAAAAAAAAAAAGTAACGAAAAAGATATTAGTAAGAGAAAATAACAATATAAATCTCACCTTGGTTCTCGACAGTTTGTCTTATATTTACAACAAATGAATGAGGCCTTTTGAGGGAAAAAAAAAAGGAAAAAGGAAAGAAAGAAAGAAAAAGAAAAGTTTTTTTTGATATTTTTAGGAACATATTTGAACTCTTATCCAAATTTAGAAAATAAAAACTACTTTTTGAAATTTTCATTTTTTTCTTTTTTAGTTTTTCAAAATTTAACTTAGATTTTGAAAATATTTTTAGAAAGTAGGTGCAAAACAATGGAATATTTAAGTGAAAAAGTAGTGTTTATGAACTTAATTTTAAGATAAAAAATAAAAAATAAAATGGTTGTCAAATGGACCAAATAATATTTATTTAAAAAAATGAAATTGTTTAGAAACAATCCAAACTTACAAATATTGCTTTATTGGAAAAAAAAATAAAGTCTTTTGAGTGTCTAGTTTGTATATTTACTGGTTCTTGAGTGACTTTCTAAATTACCTTGAATCCAAAAGAAATACAGATCAATTTCATTTTATTAAATTTGACGAAATTAAAAATTAAAAATAAATTTGGAGAATCTAAGTTTATAGAGCTTGAATTTGGAGTCTGCAAATAAATGAATTTTGAAAGGTTGAGTTTTTGTTGCTTGTATTTGGTTTCAAATAGGTTTCAGAAATCAAGTCATTCATCTATTTTTATGTCGACCGTTAAAGTATGAATATTTTTGTTGAGTACAACATATTGGGGTGAGAGATCGAACTCACAACCTCATGCTTTGAGATTTATATCAATTACAATTAAGTTATGCTCGTGTTCGCAGAGACGCATGAATATTAACCCATAGAAATTGAGGTTTTTGCAACATAAATTCTATATATGGCATGTATTTATGCAGCAAATACATTGCTTTGATATGCAAGCCAATATGCTAAATTTGTGTTCAGTCTTTTCAATTTTATACAAATTCAAACTCTTAAGTCAAAAGACAACAAAAACAAGCAGCTGACTCAATTAAAATAAGAATAAGAAATGAGGATTTTTTTTTTCTTTGAAAGTTAACCCAACAAAAAAAAATAATAATAAAAGATGGATGGATGGAGAAGAAAGAAGAGGACAAGATCCAAGATACAAAAACAAAGAATGGTAGTGAGGAGAAAGCAGGCTGGTCCAAAAAGGCACAGCTTCCCACGTGTTGCTTTTGAATTCCCTCTCCTCTCCTCTCTTCTTCAACCTTGGAATCTTTATTTATTTATTTATTTTTCCTTTTATTTATGGCTGTTACCAAATTCCATCCTTTTTAGTCAATTTACTTCCATATTCTTAAATTGGTGGATGCCAATGCAACTATTTTATTATATAGCTCAAATATCGATAATTTAGAATTAGAATCAATTCCATTTTCTAGCTTGTGATTCACAGTAAAAGATTCCATTTTTTTTCAAATTCCAATTTTTAATCTTGTTTTTCCAAGAATCCTCCTAGAGAACTGGAGACCCTTGCTTCTGCCAATCCCCCCAAACAAAAAAAAAATGCCAAGTCTTTGGTAGAAAGTGTTTGAGAATGAACGAATAGCCCTTCAAATAAAAGTGCACAATCATAAGCATATTTTTTCTAAAATATACCCACTTACATATATATATATATATATATATWTATTTAATTAATTACTTCTTATGTTAAGTATTTTTGAAAGGTCTAGAATGTTAAAGTTTGATGGGAATATTTTGGGCCCTTTCATTATCGCTATGTCAAATACGGCACTGAAAATGTTCGTTGAGTTTGGCTTGGTTTAGTTAAGAATGCAAAGGGGTGCCGACTTGTCGTTTGGAGAACAGTCCAGTCCAGTCGCTGCAGGCCTGGTCGACAAGTAGAAATATAGACAAACCGACAACAAAAAACCTCGGTCAAGTGGATGACTTGACTCATGACTGGTGAAGTGAAGCGACGGAACGGAAGTTCCGGGTTCTAGTTCCACGCATGCCACCTGCGTTTTATGGGCTTTGTTCTGTATGTGGTTGAGAGAGGCCCGTTTCATAATGGGCTTGAAATGTTTATTTCTGATTAGCTTGAGAATTATGTTCATTTTGTAACACATTTTCATGAATCTCCTTTATTTTTTGCCTAGCTTACTAATGTCTTTTTTTTCTTCTTCTTTTCAATGACTATTAGATGAGGTTTTTTTAATACAACATGTGGATTTATGTCGACATTACCGCTGAACTATGTCTGTTTTGGTGTTATTATGATGAATTTGTTTGTAATAATCACACCATTCTCTTAAGTCATTATATAAGTTTTTATAATTCATAATTTGTTAATGAAGAGTGTTGCTAAGGTTAATTAATACGTTCATATATTATGGTAGTGCTGTCAGTTTAATATTTATGTTGTACATTATTATTGATTATTAAACTTAATAGTTACATGCAGCAACAATAATATATCTTAGACACGAAGCTGAAATGTTAGTGTCAATTACAATTTGTAGAGAAAAATTAAATCGAGGATTAAAAAAAATTGATGAGATAAAAAGCAGCTAGGTGTGAACAAAACATCTAAATATCATATGCAATTGTCCAATCTCCATATGTGGATGAAACTCCAGTCAAACCAACGAGGGTTGTTGTGAATGGAGAAATACTTGGAAGTTAGAAGTCAAGGCATTACGTAGCCTCGGAGCTGGCACTGCGAAACTTGCTGACCAACCCCCATTCTACACCCACCAAAAGTTCAACAAAACAAATTAAATTAATATGGTATTCGTCACATTCTCATTTATAACAGCATTTTCCAAATCTCTTATTTATAACAACACTTCCAACTTGGACTCGCAACCTCCCATTTTTTCTTCATTCAACGCCAATGGAAGAAAATTGCAACTTAAAAGGAAGAAAAGAATTGCTCTCACTTTCCTCAAACATGCATGCCATTGCCAAGAACCTCCCTCGATCTTTCTCATTTATCCCACACGTTCCTTTGCCTACAACTTTGAATATGAATAGAGGGAGAAGGAAAAAATTAGAAGAAAAAAAAAAAATACATTGCCCATTTTAATTCCCACCTCCCTCATCTCTCGCTATAAATACCGCTCGAACTTGCCCCATTATTCCACAGCATTACACCAACTAATTCTCTCTGATCTCTCTCTAGTTCGATATTAATTTGGCATTATGAGGAAGATTTTGATTGGCTTCATTCTGCTGGTTGCTCTTTCTGGCAATGGCGGTTTACTTGTGACGGAAGCCAGGCCCCTCAATGTAATGGACTCGGCGTCGGTCGCTGGAGATTTCTTTCAAGGGCTATCTCTCGGAGCCATAAAGGAGTCGGGTCCAAGCCCCGGCGGCGACGGACATAAGTTCGTCAATTTTGATACGTTTGGAGGGATCAAGGACTTCGGCCCCACCCACGTCACCGCCTCGCACCACTGACGACCAGATGGACGGTGGAGATCAACTCCGCGCCCAAGACGTAGATTAAATAAAATTCGTTCTGTTTATATACTTGATTATTTTTTTCAGCTCATTTGTTGATTGCTTTAAAGTCGAAAGTTTAGACTATTAGGAAAATGTTGTTTGGAATTTCATATATATTTTATTATAATTCTTACTAGTTCTAGATTTTTCTAGTTTAAAAGTCCACGGTTTTATCTTATTTGTATTGTGTTTGATAAAAAATTATGTGATATTCCACGCATTAAGTCCAATGTTGAATGAAAATTGATCATATATATAAAATATAATGTCCTTTCATTTTTCTTTCGCTGGTGGCATTGTAAATTTATATATTACGTTACATAATCAATATATTTATTTTAATATGTATGTGGTAGTAAAGTAGAATACTATTATAATTCAAAAAAATACAAAACGGAAAATACTATATTTTCTTTGGCTTTCTGTGTGTCTTTTATCTATGTATGGCCTCGTTATTTTTTCAGGCAGCTAAATCCCTCCACCAAACCGGTAAAATTTGTGATATACCTACAATATTATTCTCAGTTATCATAATCATGTGGCTGGAATAAAATTAAATAATTATTAATTGAACAAGATGTAAAGTATGTGTAACATGGGTTGATGTATCTTATCAGCGGAGGTGAAAATTTTGTAGGTTGTGATAACCAAATAAACACCCCATGTGGCATATGTTTGACTTTTGGGTTTTTCAGAGTCTATTAATCTTAGTAAATCTAATTTTTGTTGAAATTACATCGTTGAGCATGTATATTTAGAATTCAATATAAATAGATAGAGTACGTAACCATCATGAATGATTCATTAATCCAAAATGACTTATTGAAATAACTCTGTATCTCAATAACTTTGTAGGTTTGTTTATAGATCTAGTAGGTAGGAAATTAATCTCAATTAAATTCAATGACTTAATTTCACTAAGACACTAAGTTAAACATGGATTAGACTAGTCACAAATCCAAGAGGATAAATTAAAAAGATAAATTATTGTTTTGCTCTTTTTTAAGTTTAATTTGTAAAATACATTTGTAGTTATTTTTAAAAACAAATTATAGTAGCCTCCATCAATGAACAATGCTTTTAATATTGGTGGCAGAGGTCAAAATCACAAAATAAATTCTAACCCTAAAAAAATAAAGATAAAATTCATACCTATTTTCAATAGATAACTTTTTGTTTCCAAATTTAAAAAAATAACCAAAAAAAAAAAACTTGTAGTAAATATTCATATACATCCAACCATATGTACAAATTATTGAATAAGATTTAGCAATTTATCAAATTATACATTAACAATATACGGTAAATATTTAATGCAATTAAAAAAACGAAAATTAAGTAAAGTGGTAAAGTAAAAACTCATTGAGAGTTGAGGGTGGGAAAAAAGAGAAAAAACAGAGGCGATGGCAGTTCCCGCTCTATTCCGCACTCATCAGAGCGCCACGGGCCTCGTGTCTGGCTGCTTCGCTCGCTATCTCTCTGTGTTCAAGAATGGTAAACTCCTCAAAGGACGATACAGCCACCGACGGCGACATGTCCAGCGGCGATTCTCCGCCGTCCAATTCCAGCCTCTACTCCGAAGGCGAGAAGGTCCTTGCCTATCACGGTCCTCGCATCTACGAAGCCAAGGTACCTTTCCTCTTACGATCTACTCTCTAACTCGTCTTTCAATATTTCTTTCATTTTCTCTAAACTTCCCCGAAGCATGGAATTCGTAGCCTGCCTTTCTGTTGGAGCACCTGGTTTAGAGGAAAAGAACAATTATAACGGGCTAATAATGCTCATGTAACCTAATTCGATCGTATCAGTTCTGTCCCCTGTGTTTGGTTGTTGGATTTCTTATGCTTGTTTGGTCGCTGATGTGACTGGAGATAGAGAAGTCAGTACGGAGATGCATTTAGCTGAGGTCATATGGGGATACGAGGGCTGTGGAAATAATATTAGTGTATTATAGCTTAGTTTCTAATAATATCAAAGAAAGAAGATGATTCAGACCAAGTATATACAAAGGGGAAACCCACACAATTTATTGGAGTTGTTGGATTTAACTGCTTTCTGCTAATTGCAGTGCACACCTGGCTTAGTTATTTAGTTATGCTTCACTCTGTATGTATATGTGTGGTTTACATGAATGCTATTATGCACTTATTATTTTTCACATTACAACTTTTACTGGTGCTACAAAAGCCAGACAAGAGAAATACACAATACATGACAATGTGATTGGACCATTCTCTTAAAGCCTCTCAACTAAACGATGCTGAATTGCACCTAAACTGAATAAGGAGAAAGTTACCAACTTTCACATAAAACTGAAAGTTGCAACTGACTCTCAGGAAAAGAAAGACAGTGGTGAGTTGCACTGATTAGTGACAGTCCCCCTTGGTGCAAAACTACTATTAACAACACCCTGAGCTCCTTGAAAAACTTCTAGTTTACTTTTGGCGAGTTTATTTAATGAAAATATCGGAATATTGAGCTCCAGTCTGTAATCTGTTATTTGATCCCTTGAGTCAATACCATTCCGAGAGGTAAAATATTGGCTTGATTTTTCAATTTCAAGTCCAGGAAAACAGCTAGGTTCTCTCAAACTCTTCAAAACAAATGGACAAGGGATCATGAAAATGAGTTATTTCATAATTGTCATCCCCCTTGAACATCATCCACATAAAAGAGAAAGAGAAGCATTGTGATGGATGCTTCCTTAACAAATAAACTTGGATATGAATTTAAAGACTCAAAGTCACAAATGTTAAGATATTTTAAGTGATTTTTCACCTAGTTGTAATCTTTATTAGTTGCTAAAAAGATGATTGTTCGAATTGTGAATCATTTGAAAAAACACATGCAACAAGGCAGGCTTTGCACTTGTTTATGATACCATCTGCCCTCTTCTTCAACATATAAAATATGTACCTACTTGCAAGTAACTAGATCAACAATTTTCTGGCTTTGGAACGAGCTTCTTTGTACAATTCCAAGATTGAGATTTCTTCTTGCATTGCCTTTTCTTGTTCAGAAATATCTTTAGCTTCACTGTTAGAAGTGTACTAATTTTCACATGAATCACTTGTAAGAAGGAAGAAAATCTGCCTTGGGGCATACATGGGTGCCCGTGGATATAGGGGAGCAAAGCTCTGACTCCTAGTTATATAAAAAAAGGAAGAAAATATATAGGAATAATTTACCTCAACTTCATAATCAGTTAGATAATTAGGTAGCTTTCTCTTTCTAGATGATCTTGGGATCACAGCTTCAGTTACCTTACTCTCATCTTGCTTAATGTGGTCCCCTAATGGAGAGATATTACTTCTTTTGTAGAAAAATCCAATAAATATTTTGTTTACTATAATTTCTTTTTTCAGAAAATAATCTAAAATAGTCAGGTTACCTTGAGTCGTCATAGCAAGTTCTTGTACTCAAAATTGCGATCTTCGTCCTTTTAAGCAAACAGTCTTTCAAGTGTCTCACAGTTTGTGCACGAACATGCTTAATGTACTCTAACAATATTGAAGAAAGAAGGTGATCTAGATAAAAACAGAGGAAAGTAAGACATTCACAAGTTCTACTGCATACTGCAGAAGCTATATAAGAAAAACATATAGTGGATAACAACGTGGTAAGACCACTCTCCCAAAATCTCTCAACTAACTCAACATGCATCTAAATTGAACAAAGAGCAAATAACCAACTTTCACATAAAACTAAAAATTATGGCTAATTTCTAAAAAATGAAAAGCAGTCGGTTGCATTAACTTGATCCTTCACCATGACTCCCATTTTATATTATCTCATGTGAAAAGGAAATTGATGCCCTTTTTCTGCATAGCCACAGTGATAAAATAAATAGCGATCCAGGTTATGATTTTACTTTTCAGGTTCAAAGAGTCGAGCTTAGGAAGAAGGAATGGAGATACTTTCTGCACTATCTAGTAAGTTTGACTTCCATGTCTTGCAGTTTCCCTTGCCAAGCTCTTCTTGTTTTGAGTTACAATCGTAATAAAATATTTTCAAGATAAGTGCCATCAGCATAAAATGCTGAAGTGACTAGATATGTTAGATATTATTAAAGTCTTGAGTATGTTAGCGAAAGTGAAAAGTTCCTTCTCATGTTATTGACCACAGAACATTTGTCATTTTGCAGGGCTGGAATAAAAAGTGAGTCTCTTTTTTTATTTTGTATTAGAATCCTCTATTATTTCACTCACTCCATCTACTGTGTAGTAAGTTGCCCTCTTCTCTTCTTTTTCACCTATCATGTAACCTCATCTAATTAGCTTTATATGCTAGCACTTATGCATCTTCCTTCTACTTTTATTTCTTTTTAAAAGTTAATTATATTGTTAGTTTTTAAATGAAACTTCATTTTAAGTATGACAGAAGTATAGTAAAAAGAAGTATGACAAGTATAAAGGAGACCAGCAGAAACTTCCAAAGAGTAATATATGCAAAATAAATCTAGCACACCCTCGCAAAATCCTCTGCTCAATCATATCTCCAGATTCAATCATAATGGATAAAAAGAGAAATTCTCTAAAGTTAAAAGTGGTATAATCTCATGAAGAACATTAAAATGAATAGAACTTTACAGACCTACGAGAACACGGGAATTTGGCTTCGCTAGCTGACATAGTGCCTCATCCTTTGTAATATCTTGTTAAAGAGAAATAGGAGAATCTTGAAGGGTGTGGAGGGTTTTGGGAGGGATTGATAGACAATTGGAAAGTTCTTTTGTCCTTGTTTGGTACTAGTTCATAGGAAAGGAAAAGGGACGTTCAGAGGGTCTATTCTCTCCACAAAATGATAACCACCTCTCTTGTCTAACTCCTATCTTATATACTTCTCATACCTCATAACTACCCGTGCATATCTTCCTTAAAATAAATAACTCCCTTGTAAAAAATTGCTCGTTGATAATGTCAAAGGGCTCCCATGAAGCAGTGTCTTCAGTCTGATTCTCCCAATGGATTAGGACTTTTGTCTCACCTAAAGTTTTATAACTGGTTGGACACATTCCTTGCATCGCTTGGGGGTCAATTCTGTTGCTAAATGTGCAGGAATCTGGGAGGATCTGGACATGGTTGGAATGATGAGCCCGCCAGCTTCAATTGTGAGATGTGAAAAACAGGATATATGGATGTATTACTAGTGGATCCTATCAAAAAGCAACCTGGCCAACCTCTTAAGTATGGCATACGGACCATAGCATCTAGGTGCCAACTTGCATTTTTTCTCCCTGCTACCGAAAGCCGAGGATAAGCTTTAATTTAAGAAGAACCATATCACCAACCTAAACTCTACATCATAGAGTGTTATCCGCTTGGGCTTTCCTTAGTTGCTGTGAGCAGATGGGCTTTATCTGCTTGTCTCTGTCTCTGTCTTTTTTGTTTTATCTTTACAGATTTGTTGTAAAGCAATTTGGGTTATCATCCTAAATTGAGATTTCGTGAATATGAAAATAAATATATCTTGAAGGGGAATGGCTAATGAACTTGAAAGTTTCGTTTCACATTTTTATTTCCTGTAAATATATGGCCAAAATGGAATTGTTGGTTAAATGCTCTGATGCTCTATATTATGGCATAAAGTCGAAGAAGAAAGAGGGCCTTTCATAAATAGTTCATTTTTGCACTGCATATTGGTTGCGTGATTCTATCTTGCATTACACAACTTTAAGATCATAAGTAACTTTTGTTTTATGAATAAAAAACAGTGATTAGTTTCCAAATCTCGTGTTGTTAGTTTTCATTCTTTAATTTGAGCATTGATGACATTTTACCTCTATATCTGTTTTATGTAGCACTGTGTTGTGATTTAGATACCTCAAGGGTTGGATTTTCAGTTCCAATTGATAAAATTGGGTGGAGGGTTTTACTTTTGTTAATTTTTCCAGATTTTTGTAAAAAAAATTTGAAAATGGAAGTCTTAAGCTTTCAAGACTTTTCTTGTATTAGTTACTTCACTTCCGCCTTCACATTTTAAAGCCTTTTCTCGATTAAATGCTTGGAGAAATGTTGAAGTTGTGTTCTTACCCATTGCAACACTAATAACCTCTAAGAAATCATCCGCCAAGGATTGTTTAGAATTTTCATTCCAGCTGGTTGCATTCTTTCTTCATGGTAATAATGTTCTTTTTGAAAAGTAATATAGAATTTCATTTGAGAAAAAAAAGGAAATATGGAAATTATTAACATTGGTTGGATGTCTAGCATCTTTTTATTATGTCATTTTTATAAAAGCAATACAGAAGTTATTACAATGGACATCTTGCTAACAGTTGGGACGAATGGGTAAGCGTAGATCGTCTGATGAAATGTACTGATGAGAACCGTTCGAAGCAGCAGGCCCTAGAGAAAGGGTATGCAGAAAAGAGCTCAAAGTCTGGACGATCTGCACAAGCAAAGCCAAAAAACTCGACCGGTAGTCTTCAAATTCTTAGTTATACAAAATCTATAAGTTCAAAATCAAAGTCTTTGATGCTGTAGTATTTTTTTATGCATCTTTTGCTTCGTTAAACTTTTCAATATTCTAAACATGATTAAAATTGTCTAAAAATAAGGTTACTTTTTTCATTAATATTCTTCCAATTTGGATAATGAGGCACCAGCTCGTGAAACAGTACTTAAAAGAGTTACTCCATTTGTCACTTGTTGGTTTGCATGTACATGAGTTTTCTGTACCATTATGATCTTATTCATAATAAATATTGACCGTAGTTGTTGATTTTTCCTTCACTCCATAATTGCATATATAGTTATGGATGAGGTGTTCCAACATGAAAACATCCAAGTATTTTGTATTTTCCCTTCAGCATGTAATTGCATGTGTGTGTGTGTGTGTGTGTGTGTGTGTGTGTGTGTGTGTGTGTGTATATATATATATATTATTTTAGGTGTTTCAAGGTGACAATGTCGAAGTATATTTTTGTGCATTGTATCTCTAAGATTTTGGTTTGAGGCTTTTGAGCACTAGGGTTGGATCTATTTAATTTCTTATCAAGTCTTTTAGAGTAATGATGACAATGGTGGTTCTTATCAAATTTTGATTGGGAGCAGTATGGCACTCGAACTAGGCTGGTAGCCTGGTACATATAGGAACTTGATGTATTCTAATCAACTAAGAAAATATCGTCAATATCATTAGTTAACATTGACAATATCAACAGCAATTTGGGGTACATGTCATTCTTCCAGTATGTTAGATGTTAGAAATATTGACAATATATAAAAAATTGTGGATATTGAGTGAAAAATTGTGGGTTGATCCTTGACCACCAAATATATAGGTGGTGTTTTGCAAATATTTGGTGATATATTTCCCAGAGGGTAGATTAGAGGCACCAAATATGTTAATGTGGTGTGTTTTCCACGCCACCACATTGTGAAGTGAGTTTGTGTTGCACCATAAGTTCAAAAGCATGTTGTTCAACGTCTATTTAAAGATTTTACTTCTTGGAAAAATGTGTGGTAGCATTGAAGTATATGACAGAGAGCATCTTGTGAGGATTGGGGCTCTGGTTTGAGATAAAATATAGTCAGAGGAATGTTTTTGTATGACTTGTAAAAGGTTAGGCAAACTTGCATCAGACAATATGTAGCCCAATTTAAGGGTGGACTTGTTTAAACCTTGGTCTATTTCTTTTTCTTCCAATTTTCTTCTTTCATTGAAGGTTTCTGCAGAGGCTCAAAACGTTTTGTAATTATCCAGAAACTTACTCCAATTGAGCAACTTTTGTTCATCTATTGAACTAGAAGGGAGAGTGCCATCTACCTATTGCGAGGGAGGAGACCCTTTTATTCCCCATTTTGAAGCATTTAATTCCATTTTCTTCTCTATGTGCATTTGATCATCCATCCAAAGAATCAACTACTTAAAGATAAAGGGGAAAGGGGATCCCCCCCCCCCCCCTTATGTAAGTCCCCTGGACTCTGGAGGTTCCCCTTTCCGTCTTGGCTTACTAATTACTATTTAGAAGATTGAGTAACTTTCTGATGATATTATCTTTCAAAATCTAAGCTCCAACTCTTTATCCCCCATAACAGCACTGGTACATCCAATCTGTTTGTTCCTGGTCAATTTTGATGATGAACAGATGAAGCTGGTTTTTGCCTTTTCTTTTCTAATCCTTGTGTTTCATTTGTAAAGGGAACGACATCATATTTCTCATTTTTTCATAAAACCCAGTTGAGTACTATCTACAGTAAGAGGCAACAATTTCTTCAATCTTTCTACCGACACCTAGCTATTAATTTGTAATAAGTATTGAATGCTATATTTGTAAAAAAATTAAAATAGCTGTTTTTTAAATTAAAAAAATGCAGCATTAGTTCCGCCATTGATTGTAATTTTGGTAACTTTTAGGAACAATATTTGTTGATTACTTGAAATCTTTTCCTTTTCTTCTAATGCGTCTGCCTAAAGTGCAATTTATGAATAACATCTGCTTATTTCTCACGCATAAAATTCAGTTAGAAAACTGTAATTTGTGATATTATTACACCAAAGGGGCAATCCGGTTGGCAAGGGCCCGGGGTCTCTTAGTCATACTGGCTTAGAGGTCTAGAGGTCTGAATTTGAAACCTTCCGACTCCCCGTTCTTAAAAAAAAGGGATATTGTTACTTTGAGAATTTTCATGTCAGTCAACTAAAGCTTTTAACCATGGTAATCAATGCAATCTTGAACTCTTGTGTATTTAATAATTTTCTTCATTTCCTGATCAATGCAATCTGTTTCTTTCCAGATGCAAGAGTGGAGAAAGAGGACCACAAGAACAATGGTATTGTGTATTTTTACATTTTTATTGAACTCTTTTTTAAAACGTTCTTAGTTGAGTTAAACTACCTTTCACTGTGTTGCTCAATCAATGAAGTACTGTTACTTTTTATTTGACCCAAAAGATGCCATCTTAGGGGAAAAAAATAGTGAATGGTAGTTTTAGGCTGGGCTTTGGACAGTTTCTTAGAATATTGCACTGGTATGATGAGAAAACTTTACCTGCTTCAGTTCCTAGAATGGGAGACCCATCTCAAATGAAACTTTACCCGATTAAGGTGAGGACAGCCTGAATTTTCAACCTAGCATCTCTTGAACTTTACAATTACTTGTYAAGGTTGAATATGAATGCATTTTCTCCATCTCAAGACTTTTGAACTACTAAAATCCGTTCGGTCCACAAAATGAAAAGAGCATCATTTGCATGTCCCTTTATTG